AATCTTTTTAATTGGATGAAACATATTGTTTTATTTCGAATAATATGTAACTACAGCACAATTTTTCCTCCCCACCTCTTCACGTGGTTCGGAAAGTTCAAGCGTCATATTTTTTAATCTTTGATGTAAAGCACCAACACTTCTATGGACTAGATCTTGGACTGACACTGTATCCAGTTCCCTGGCTTTTCTAGGTACCACTCAGCACCAGACTGCAGTTAAAGGTGGTGTTTGTACACCCTGAGGGTGTTGAGGTGAAGGAAACGGGTGTTTGTTTTCATTGTCCAAGCCTGTTAAACAAGTCAACGCGGCCAACACAGCATGCTCCTACACGGCGCGTTCTGTCGCACACCTGCCGTGTGTTGGGAGCACTCAGCAACAGGTTCAGTTGATACAGCTTTTTTTTTTGTAGTGCCAAACTGATGGGCCTGTCTCGTCAAGATGACAAACCACTGGGATTGTTTCATAGTGATGCCTAACTGGTGGGATTGTTTCATAGTGATGCCTACCTGGAGAGATTGTTTCATAGTGATGCCTACCTGGTGGGATTGTTTCATAGTGATGCCTAACTGGTGGGATTGTTTCATAGTGATGCCTACCTGGTGAGATTGTTTCATAGTGATGCCTAACTGGTGGGATTGTTTCATAGTGATGCCTACCTGGTGAGATTGTTTCATAGTGATGCCTACCTGGTGGGATTGTTTCATAGTGATGCCTAACTGGTGAGATTGTTTCATAGTGATGCCTAACTGGTGGGATTGTTTCATAGTGATGCCTAACTGGTGAGATTGTTTCATAGTGTTGCCTAACTGGTGGGATTGTTTCATAGTGATGCCTACCTGGTGGGATTGTTACATAGTGATGCCTAACTGGTGGAATTGTTTTATAGTGATACCTACCTGGTGGGATTGTTACATAGGGATGCCTAACTGGTGGGATTGTTTCATAGTGATGCCTAACTGGTGAGATTGTTTCATAGTGATGCCTAACTGGTGGGATTGTTTCATAGTGATGCCTAACTGGTGGGATTGTTTCAAAGTGATGCCTAACTGGTGGGATTGTTTCCTAGTGATGCCTAACTGGTGGGATGGTTTCATAGTGATGTCTAACTGGTGGGATTGTTTCCTAGTGATGCCTAACTGGTGGGATGGTTTCAAAGTGATGCCTAACTGGTGGGATTGTTTCCTAGTGATGCCTAACTGGTGGGATTGTTTCAAAGTGATGCCTAACTGGTGGGATTGTTTCCTACTGATGCTTAACTAATGGGATTGTTTCAAAGTGATGCCTAACTGTTTCATAGTGATGCCTACCTGGTGGGATTGTTTCATAGTGATGCCTAACTGGTGAGATTGTTTCATAGTGATGCCTAACTGGTGGGATTGTTTCATAGTGATGCCTAACTGGTGGGATTGTTTCATAGTGATGCCTAACTGGTGGGATTGTTTCCTAGTGATGCCTAACTGGTGGGATTGTTTCATAGTGATGTCTAACTGGTGGGATTATTTCATAGTGATGCCTAACTGGTGGGATTGTTTCAAAGTGATGCCTAACTGGTGGGATTGTTTCCTAGTGATGCCTAACTGGTGGGATTGTTTCAAAGTGATGCCTAACTGTTTCATAGTGATGCCTAACTGGTGGGATTGTTTCCTAGTGATGCCTAACTGGTGGGATTGTTTCCTAGTGATGCCTAACTGGTGGGATTGTTTCAAAGTGATGCCTAACTGGTGGGATTGTTTCCTACTGATGCTTAACTAATGGGATTGTTTCAAAGTGATGCCTAACTGGTGAGATTGTTTCATAGTGGTGGCTAACTAATGGGATTGTTTCATAGTGATGCCTAACTGATGGGATTCTTTCATAGTGATGCCCAACTGATGGGATTGTTTCATAGTGATGCCTAACTGATGGGATTGTGTCATAGTGATGCCTGATGGGATTGTTTCCTAGTGATGCCTAGCTTGTGGGATTTTTTCATAGTGATGCCTAACTGGTGGGATTATTTCCTAGTGATGCTTAACTGGTGGGAGTGTTTCAAAGTGATGCCTAACTGGTGGGATGGTTTCATAGTGATGCCTACCTAATGGGATTGTTTCAAAGTGATGCCAAACTGGTGGGATTGTTTCATAGTGATGCCTAACTGGTGGGATTGTTTCCTAGTTATGCCTAACTGATGGGTTGGTCTCATACTGATACACCATGGTACCAAACTGACGAGCTTGTGACATCATGGTAACCAAACTGATTGGTTTGTTTCATAGTTTTTGCACACTTACGGGTTTCGCTCAATATTGAGATTATTTACAAACTTTATTACCATCTTATGTCATTACATTTTTTCTGCGAACATCCGGCTAGATACCGGTACTGGATATGTGCCTCATGAACACGAGGCAACCATCTTGATAGTAGCATGACAAGGATATTCAAGAATGAAACTGACCAAGTCGTCTCGAAAACATTATTTAGATTTGCACTAACATTTCTACACAGAGTCAGATAAGCATTGAATCAAATGATTTTTTCTTTTTAATTTAACTTCATATTGTTCTTTATGCTATGTGAATGGATAAACAATTAGTAATAAGTCATATATTTTATTCAAAGTTCCTGATGATTCCATACAAACTGCTAGGAATTTTAAATCTTTTCAAATACGGTAATAATGAAATCAGGCAAGAAAGAAATCCAACGTACAAAGTTTTGATAACATTTGTGTTTATTACTTATTTTTAAAAAACCTCAAGATTAAAAACAATTCTTCCATCCCACAACTTATGAACATCAGCCACACTGTAGGTACCTAAAATATCACACAATCAGTTGCAAAGTGAACAACAATGTAACAACTAACTGGACTTAATAAATCAGTTTATGCAACTCTGGTGGTAAGAAAAGATCAATTCTCATTCCAAACCAAATTATTAGCGATTTACAAAGAGACAAATCCATTTAAAATGTCATTGCCCTATTTTGAGACAAAGCAATGATCTATGTTATTAGGTAACACCCACTTCATCGGCTCCGTCACAACTTTCACAAAGTCATTTTTGAAACATTTTCAATCCAAAACAGACAAGTATTCAAATTAAAACAATTAAAAAACTATCTGGCTTGCCAAGCCTAGACTCTGAAATTAAATAGTCAGTCAGCAGATTTTCATCGAAGAGAGCTGAAATTAGTCAAATCCTTCAAACAGCTAAACATTTTTAACCCAAAAATAAATCGTATCAGTAGCTCCTTAAACAACTTATCTCCCACCCATTTTGACCCACTTAGATTTTCATTTATTTTTTTACTGGTAATATCGCGCCCACTTTTTCCCCCTTTGCAATAATAAATTACAAGGCTTTAAAAAAAAACAACTGGTTGTTAGAGCTACTTTTTTCAATGGGATCATTATCTTAAAGGGAAATTTATCAGGTGACACTAATCAGAAATATTTCTAAAGTCAAATACTATGTGATGTCAGGATTAACGCTGCCTTTTATTATTTTATAAACTTTTTTTACAATTAAAAAAATTATAGCTGTGGAGCAGAGTGCTAAGCTGCTATTAAGTTGATTCTTTGTTGCAGCTAAAAAGCTATCATTGATTTATCCATTAGCTTCAATAGTATTCCTCACAGAATTCACTTAAAAATGACTTTAAATTCAATATATTTAAAATATGAAACCGGAATTTCGTCAGAACTGTAGTTTGCACACCTTGAAATAAGTTAAAAAAATCAAGATTAAATCTATTTCCTCTAACAAAGGTCCCAAATATGATAATGATTGGACCACATGAAAGTACTAACAAAGGTGATTATAAGACTATGGGAGCCACAGGTGGTGTGTAACTGTCTCTACAGCGTTCATAGAAAACCTGAAAATAAAGTAGAAAAAAATTATAACAAAGTTAATCAAATATAATTAAAAGGTAGAAAATACCAGGCATTTTTTAAATAGTGGTTACCAAACCTTTTGCTCTAGCGGCACCCCAAACACATTCATTGCTCCGCCACCTCTCCTATACTTTCTCATTGAGTAAATGAATTAGCTCTAAGCAAAATAATGATAGCAAAAATCTAATACTAATAATCAGCCCATCTTTATCGGTGCATGCATAAATATCACTGTATAGGCTACCCTTGCAGAAAAATAAGTTATTTTCTTAAAGCAGAAATTAGCCTTTCATGACAAAGTATAGCCACTAAAGCTTATGGTCAAATAGGCTAAAACAAACTCCAAAAAATTTCCAAGAAAAAACAACTATCTGCTATATTAACTTCTGATTTAAAATGCAGACAAAAGAATGATACCAGGAATCTTTACAACAAACTGTTAAACTACTGATCAGTTCTTAAAATAAGTTTTTTTGTTGCTTTCCATACTTGGCCTAAAGGTACAATAATTTTATAACAAAAAACCCTTCATGACGTTCTGACTTAAGATACTACCTTGTGTGTCCTATCTCTCACAACTTCCTCTATACTCATCTCTTGCTGCATCAGGCGCAACTGTTGAGAAATAGTTGAAAAGTGATTTATCACTATAGCCTTGGTATTGTAAATCAAGAAACTTTGATCTTATAAATAAGATTTTAAAATATTCAAATCAATTAAATAAATATCTGAAATGTTGACTAACCCACAGCACATTTTCCTAACATTATTTAATTTATTTGGCTAAGACTGTTTAATCTCTTTGCCTAACACTATTTAAGCAAGCATATGTTTTGAGAAAAAAACAAAACAAATGCAACCCACTTTAGTTTGTTCCTTCCGTAAAGCTCTGAGAATGTCTACATCATCAGGCGCATCCAATTTGCTCTGCCGAAGTTTTTTCACATCATCATTTACAATTTCTATACAATGGCGAATGGATTTGTCCCTCTGGTCATATGAAACTTGCATCTGAATACAAAGGTTTTTAAAAATAAGTATTAATCTAATAACAATTCTTTTGTTGAATCTAATTTATCCTATAACTTTGTTATATAAAATGCCAAAGAGATGGTGTTTGAATTTGAAACAGCAATAAGAGTTCCTAAGCAATAAAAGGAACAAAAGTTTTGAAGGAATTCATATCAATAAAAGCCACGTTAAAGTAATCAATATGAATATCAAAAATATTACCAGTGAATGAAGGTGTGGAATTGCTGGAGCTCCAGTAGGCAGGGCTGAAGTTATTAGCTAACAATAATTTCGTCAGTGACATAATGCTACTGTGCTTACCTCATCATAGAGCCGCTTGCATTCTGTGGTGGCATTAACTTTATCTTTAAATGACTGTGTGGGAATTACAGAGTTGAGCGCATGGACAATTCTGTCATCTATAAGGCGGAGCCTTTTTAAAGCATCCTGGGGAATAAAAAGATTGGTATAAAATAAGATCTTTTAACCTTTTCGCAGCTATGCACACCTTCTTGATTTTAAAATATTTCAAGCAACCCTGTTGCCATAACTAATGGCATGCTGATAAAAATGCAAATAAACTTGATTATATGGGTCATGCCACACCCCCTGACATTGTCTAGATGCTCATTTGTATGTTGTTGGGTGTTACGGGGGGGCCTAAAATATATATATATTTTTTTCACTTAAGTAATATTGCAAAAATATGAGTGGCCCCTTATTGTAATAAGGCATAATGTATCCTTTAGTGGTTTCAGCGTCTTAGTATGTAGCCTTTGTAGTATTATGAGTGTTGGTACTCTGTATCTTTTCCACCATGTCAGTAACTATAATAATTACTTGCCCCCTTATCTACTGCTTTTACAAATCTAATCTTTTTGAGGTTAAATCAGAATTGCCTGGATCGATTTTTTAATATATTTTTTTAAAAGGTACTGCACTTTAGGAACCATCCACTTAGTATGTATGCACTGAAGGGGGGAGGGCTGTCAATTTTGCATACAAATGTCTTAACAGAAAGTATGTACATTAATCCAAAAATTCTACAAGAATTGTCCTGAAATTTTACAGTAAAAAAAAAAAGCATATTTATATCTCGAATGTTGTTAAAATATTGTGCAATGTTTTGTAGGAATTATCATAATAAGGTTGTCTGGTATTTTGACAAATGAACTGGCTAGATATCGCACAAATAGTAATAAGTAGTAGCGGTATTACAGTAATATTTTGTTTGTCTTTATGCTCAACATGCATGTGATGTATCCCGCCTGTTACGTACCGCTATAATGTGCAGAGAATTTAATCTCTTATTTTACGATATGGCTCGTGATAAACAGTACATAATAAAGGATGGTGCCATTAATTAAATGGCCGGCACTTTGGCGGTGTACTTGGCAAAACCATGGACTTTGGCCTGCATACACCACGGTGGTGTACCTAGCTAAATCTTTGGCCATGACCTGCGTACACCACATCGATTTAAAGCAGGAAAACCATGGTCCTTGAGATTCTTTAACTTTTTGGCCTAACCGGTACTTATTAAATCTACATTAAATCTATGTTATACTCTTGTTAAAACTGAAAAAGGTTTATTTAAAAATAATTTAATACCCTGGGAGGAAGATATTGGGTAAGTTCTACACTTTTGTGGCAAAGTATTCTGAAAAAAGGAGACGAGTGGGAGTGTAATGTTTAACCATGATTTATTTTTAAAGTTAACCACTTTATTTCCCCCATATATATTGAAATACAAATATATTTATTAATTATTGCAAGTTTTATCCTATGATTGTGAATCTTAATAGGCCTAGAAAGGGCAGCTAATTTGAAATCAATTCCCCCCCCCCCCCCCCCCACCTTTTTTTTTTTTTTTTTTCCCCCCCAACTAGTTTGTTTTCTTTTTTTTGGAGGGGAGGGGCATTATACTTATGGCATTGTATGTGATCCCTCGGGGCATGGTGTAAAAATGAATGGGAAGCCAGTGTATCTATTTTATTAATTCCAAGATATAATTACACCACAAATACATTACAGTCAGAGAGCACATACATTGATCATGAAGTTAAAGTTGTCAGAGGCATTTTCAGCATGTTATCAAGCGATTGTCAACATAAAACAACAGTATCATGATAAATACAAAACATTGCAGTGATTTTTTTAAAGTCTTTTATAAATAATTTAATATTATTGATTTAGTTTTACATTGGCATTACACATTACTAAAAATGCTGGTGGACATCAGCAAGGGATGTTATAGAAACATAATGCAAACAAGCATGGGCGCCCGCAGAAAACTTTCTAGGGGGGGCAAAAAAAATCTATTAACTTTCCAGGGGGGAAACATTTTTTTTAGTTGTTTTAATATAGTTTTATTTTACTGTAGCGTATTTTTATGGTGAACGAACAAACAGGACATCAGCTTAGTTACTTTCTCTTTATTTTCTCTTTACTTTAATAAATTTTTTGTCTATTTTTGTGTAAATTTTTTTTATCCAATCAATCCAGGGGGGGGGGGAAGTGCCCCCCTCTTGCCCCTACCTGCAGGCGCCCATGCAAACAAGGCAAGCTTCTACCGTAACACACCCCCAGTGTTTCCTCAAATTTTTTGATTTCCGCTGCCCATGCCAAATTAAGGTTTTTGCTGGAAAATGGTGCCACTTAATATATAGAATCACCCCCAGACCAGTTAAAAAAGATGGGTTTTTATATTTTAATTCGCTATTAATATTTAATCTAAAGTCACTAAAGACAATTTTGGTGCCCTTAATCTATAATGTTGGCGCCCGGTGAGACTGCCCTCATTGCCCCATTCTCATGGCTCTGACAGAGGGCAGTGTTGTACCCTGAGCAAGTCGGCATAGATAATGGGAACCACTGGGCTGTCCAAACTGTTGGCTGTGTAAAAGTATAAGCCTGTGAGTGTGACACAATTAAAAAAAAGTTATGTGACATCACAATTATCTATGACTATGGATTATTTGATTTTGCTTGTGTTTTTTTTTGTTTGGGATTGGGAGGGGGGGGTATTAGTATGAGTATTTTACTATTTAGTATTAGTTACCTAGTATTTAGTAATAACCCTTGCTTAAAAATTATAAAAGTAAATATGGACATGGTGAAATTGAGTGAAAGATATTCAACTTCAAGTCAACTATTCAGTATTACTGAGAATTAGAATGGAGTTCAGAATTGAATGACTATAATTTTCTGTAACTGTTCTGGATTTTTAAAAATTTAGGTTACTAAAATTAACAATCATGTTCAAATTTATGCTATTTTTGACAAACGACATGTTTTTGTTTAATGATCAGGCTCAGGAAGGAAAAAAAAAAATGAAGTTCATTTTCAACTTTGACATTGATTCTTCTCAACGAATATAAGAATTTTACTGTTCTTAATTAATGACATTGTTTTATGTCAGGAATGAAGCTGATTATTTCTGTCCTGCGCAAAAAACAACACTAAACAAACAACATTTGCAATGTTTGTTTAGTGATCTCAATTACCTGGAATTTAAGAAAGTCATCGCATGGTAAATATCGTTCAGTGGGCGCAGCCATCTTAATATACCTTGACCCCAATTGCAATAACAACCTTTTAGAGGACGACAGTTAAAAACATGCGAAACTGGGAAACGAAACGGGTTTTAAGATAAACACACTCTTGTCGTTATCACTTGATTATTTGTTTTGTTTTTTTAATATCATTAAATCCAAAAAATTTTGTAAATGCTATATCAACAGAAAATCTTTAATCATAAGGACACACCAAGAGCGAAAATCCAGTTTAAAAGTCTATCGCTTTAAAATTAAGGGAAGCTACTGTAGTAATAATCGACCCTGGAATTAATAAAGTTCCTTCCCATGACTTCATTCTTTAACACCACATTTGCGATGTCAAATTTAATTTGTTACGGTATGGTTTTCTTTGGTTCTGTAAAGTTTTCTTTGTATTTTTTATAAAAATTTATTTGTAGAGTTAAATTAAATATTGTAAGCATCACCAGCCTCGGTATCGTTTTCTTTGGATACTTTTTATCAGTCCTTTGTTACGTATTGTTTATTTTACTAATTTATACCAGCCGAAACATTAACACAGATTAAAATGTCCAAACCATACATAACGGTACGTAACAAAGTTAGGAGATTGTGTGCATTTGCAATAAATTTTTTTAGTGCTACCAATAGCAAATAAGTCTTTGTCCGGTAGTTTTTATCGCTTCGTTCTAAAGGACACAGATACTTTGTTTTCACCAGACCTTTAACGATAACAATACCATGGTTAGTCACAATTCTTAAAAAAAAAATATTTTTAAGTGTGCTCAATTAGCTACGGTGTCAAAAAGGACTTAGATGAAATTCATCAATAGAGAAATTAGAAAAAAATGTTCTAGAAAAAAAAGTATTTTCCATTGCGAAAAAGTTAGGAATAGTACTAGCCCATTCTACTTTAAAAGTCGGTTAGAGATTTGATTATGGTCCATGAAGACCTGTTGACTGAGAATGATGATCTGGCCTTAGTCAACGTGCAAAATGATCCACGCGAAGAGCTCCAACGAAAGCTCAAACAAATGCAGCTAAATGATTTAGAGAGAAAAGAAAGAGAGCTAAAAAAAATGGAGCTAAATGATCAAAGAGAGGAACAGGAAAAAGAGAGAGCACAAGAAACGGACACATTTTGCAGAGTGTAGCGAAGATAATGTGCATAAGGCAACAGTGTTGGCTGGCGACTTGACCAGGGTCTCTTTCAGCTATATCTCCGGGGCGGTGGGGGGGGGGGGGTGAAAGCCAAGTGCCCCCCTCCCGGAGCAAAAATATGTCAAACAATAAAT